CTCAGCACTCAATACTTATCTTCGGAGATCTAGGGGGTTTCGTGTATTATTGGCGGTATGTGTTGGTAGAGGGGCGGTCCCCCTCCCGATGTGCATGAGCTAGCATGCCAGGCGCACTCGTTCATATACCAAGGTCCTGAGTCAACCTTTCTTCTGCGGTTCTGACAACAAGCTGCCCGCCTCCAAACAAGATATCTTGTTCTTGAACCACTCTAGACTTAACCGTTTCCGATGTATCAACTTCGTCAAATTCGAACACCTTCGATACGTCATCTACAACCTTAACCCACTCTGTCGGTTGTCTACCCCTCTTCTTGTTTCCAACTGCGCCTCCCAAGCTGTTACGGGCAACCTCTCCTCTCTCATATCGTACATGTGGTTCTGCGTCAGTACAGGGGTGACCAATTTCTGGTAGCGCATGTTCTGCGTTTGCATCTCATGGTCGCGTTGACCGGAGCTCTCGTAGTATTTATTCCCTGTTCTTCCTTCCAACGCAACGAGGCTGTCCATGACATTTATTGGCGAACAAGGTGACCAGTGTCATGAACAACCCGAATGAAGGCCACGCCATAGCACGACCACGCCGCGATGAACCTTTGTTGATGGAACCATGTCTTGTGCAGCTGTAAATGGCTGGGCGAGAATGGCTGGGTCAGGTTTCGGTTTTGTGCTACGCGCCAGCGTCTTTGGATGATTCCGACGTGGACAAGTGATGCAATTCCCTTGGAATGCAAGAAACCTCTAGCTTGTAGGTGACTTTTGCAAGACACACCACCATCGTGAGGTGGAACAGACTGAAACAAGGATGAACGAGGACTGGCTAATACGCGCAGCAGGAGGTGAAAGGTTTGTGCGGGGGGCGGCGGTAAGAGAGAGACAACGGCGGTTAGAGTTGTTTTGGGGAGAGGCCTCACCGTGTCTACGGTTCGTTCCGAGACAGCATATAGATTGTAGACGTACACGAGGTGATACGGATGTTTGAGGCAATGATGGAGACGTCGGCAAATGACAACACGACGAGCATGTGGCATTGCTTAACACACGTATTTTCCATACACTCTTTTGCACGGGGCAGTGCAGAATCGCTCAAGAGACCTTACTGTGGAGCCGGGGGCGTTTCGCACATCATGTACCTCAGGTATAGATATCCTCTTCCATAGACACAATTGGAGGCGAGGGGCCGGGGAAGAGCAAGGCGCCTGAACAAAATGCTCCTTCCCCCCTTGTTCTGGGGTGTTTTCTTGTCAACGCCCTTCCTCTTTGGGTATCAGCGAAGGATCGAAGATGAGTAACCTTCGTTTTATCCCGGATGTTAATTAGGCATGTTTCGCTTCAGGAGGCATTAGACTAGTTTTCGTATACTATTCGGCCGACTCGGGGGCCGGGCTTTGCTAGCACCTGGCAGGGGGCACCGAGGCTCATCCAATGGCGTCCATCTACCTTGCGTGATGGCAGCTTGACGGCTAGTGGGATAACCTCAAACGTGATCATCAGAGGCCGCGAGACATCCTCAACCTTCACACCCATTCATCATGTGTGGTTCGTCCTGGACGATTTTTACTCGAGAAATCCTACTACTGCTGTCTTTAGTTGCACAACACAAACTTCACCCATCGCTGGGCTGAACAAAAACGTGAACACGAAATATGAGATCAAAAGGAACCTCTCCCCACATCTGAACAAGCCCGAAACGCTTCAATCACACCATAACCGGCCAGTAAAGACTGGTGCTACTCGCCGCTTTTTTCACGTCAGGACTTTCCACGTCGCCGATCCTTACTTCTAAGATCACCAAACTGGACACTAGCCAGAGGCTTGCCGCCTTTCCCGCCAGTGGCCGCAGCTGGAGCGGCGTTCCACATTTTCGCCGCCTTTCGGCTTCCAACGAGCCGCACGAGCCATCCGCCGTTGCCGATCGGCGCGTCGAGATCGAGCGGCAACGGCTCCCCTCGTCCTGATGAGTTCGTAGTGACCAAGGAGGCTTCCGCTCCAACCAACTCCCCCGCTAGAATTCCTTCCCTTTTTTCCACCGCGAACAAATCTCGGGCGCTTGAGTTCTTTCTCATCAAGCGGCAGGTGCGTAGCGTTGCAACCGGAGCGCCGTCTCCGCACCACCCTGAGCTCTGCAGCGTGAGGAAGTCTCCTACAGGAAACACTAGCGTCGGAGGGTCGAGGCCTATTGCCGTTGACACTGCTGCCAACATTCCGGTTCCTCCGCAAACTTCGAATGCTGCGCGGGCGTTTTTGATCTCCTTCTTGTCCATGAGTGATTCAAAGGCAGGGTGTATCTGCACCGGAGAGGTAACGTTCGAATAAATCACTTCGTTCGGTCATCGATTTGCTTGAGCGTCATTCCTGCGGTTGTGGGGCTTCGGTTACGTATTCAGTCGGGGCGAAAGAACAACATCTTCGTGCCCCATGTTGTGACGCTGCCTAGGGGCCCTGAACGGCGAGAACAACAGCAGTACCGTGAATGAAAGAGCTGAGGCGCATTCGCAACCCTGAAAAAGAATGTTCAGCATGTGCTTCTTCCATACTGAAATAAAATGTGGCACCTCCTGAATACGGAGATCACACAGCGAGAGGAAACTAAAGCGCAAGTCTGCCTCCCAAGGACACGAGAGAGAAACAGAGAGATACGACAAGAAAGCATAGGCCGATTCACGATGCATAAACCCACCCGAAATTGAGAATCTCCGCGCCGATAAGATACCCTGCCACCCTCGCTCTCCTGTTCGCGCAGCCAAAGCTCTGTTCGGGGGCTTACTGCGACAATCGGCACGCCTTCGAGGGCCATCTCGTCCTTTACCGACTCAAGAAAGGCCTTCATTGCCCTCGATTGTGACGGACCACCGTCCCACTCAACATCGAAGCTCACGGCCACCGCCAAGGGTACCTGGCCACCTCCGAGGCGCTCCCGAACGCGAGACACCGCAGCCTTGACGGGGGTCACCCCTCCGCGGTTCGGTCGTGGGTAACCCTTGTGAAACGCCATGTCGGCACCAACAACCATCAGCACCGCCGGTGTCGCCTCGCCGGCACCCGGCCCAGCTGCGTCAGCAACAGCTTGCTCACAGCAGTCACAATCGCTTTGCTTGCTTTCCTCGCCGAGCACGCTAGCCGCCGATGCGTGGTTCAGCTGTGCCGGGAGGAGACGTTCGCCACTCGGTGCAAAACCGTGTTCGGGGGCATGGGCGAGATCGGCTTCTCTAGGCGCGAGTGATGAGGTCCACCATACTTCCGCATCTGACGCCGTATCCGGCAGAGGCTTATCGGAAGAGGACGCCGCTTTCAAGAAGAGAGACTTGCAAGTAGAATTGCGGCCGATCAGAGCAACGCGGACGCCCAGCGTAGAGTCCGCCATGATATCGGGCCTAGCAATGCCTGTGGATCTTCCTCCTGTTTCGCACGTGGAAGAACGCCAATACGAAGTGCAAAGCAACGGAGGAGGGGGGGGGTAGGAGAAAGACAGCAGGGGAAAAGATCCGTGGAGATTTGCTAGGGAGCGGCACAAACGAGGTGGGGGGTTTCCGTCCACAGCTTCAACGCTCGGATGCTCCCACCGGCCCACATAAATGTCTGGCACGCGGGGTATACATAACTCAGGAAAGAAGGCGAGCACGTGTTCGGACGTTTTGGTAAGCTTGCGGTAGCGGTAGAGGCCCTATCACGTCGGAAAAGTCGTCAAGACATCGCGCAGCGGCAACACACCATAGATTTTGCTCGAGAAGCACTTTTTTGGGTTGTGAGGGGGTAGAGCAAATACACGCCAAAACAGCAGCGAAGACCGGGTGGGGTTGGGTTAAAATGACTTGTGTTCTGCAGAACCGTGTCAACCTTTTGAAGGCCACGTATGTTGGTACAGCAGTACATGTAGTAGGGCGCCAACGCTCCGTGTTTCAAAAGAGGAGTATCTGTGCTGGGGCATAACGGTGCAGCGCTTGACACATGCGGGATATTTGCAGGCAGAATGCCCTAGCTGGAAGCCTCTGGAGAACTCGAAAAGGACACCATTCTTCCCCTCTCCACTCCCGACGCTCTTCGACTACAATATAGGTCTGATAGACTACTTCTTACAGTAGTCTACGCTAAAGGCCTGTACGTTGTTTGCAGGCTTGGGGTGGAAAATGCATAGCATGTACTGCACGCGACGCTACATACAGCAGACCTGTGGTCCTGAGCGACTCGGGCACCCCGTGTAGATAGACGCGCTGCCGACTGCGCCACTGGCTCCACACAAAATAGTGGTCAGTGTGAGCGAGATGTTGGCAGTAAGGGACACTGGTCCTGTGCGGGGACGGTGAACAACAGAGGACAACGGGGGCAGGTCTCCGGCCGAGTTTGACCAATCGCTATTCGCTGCAGGGTTGGACGTAACGCCTACTCTCATTTCTTGCGTATATGACCCCCGTTTCGCAGCTCATGTGTTGTGTTCGAAGTGTTTTCCAATGTTTTCAGGTCTTCCCGTCACCTCTATCTACATCATCAGCTACATCCTCCGCACAAGAGGCACCCGTGTTCTCTCCGTCATGTGAAACATGCGCATGCGGTCGTTGTCGCCGAGACATCCGACACAAATTGCTACATGCCGAACGTGTATTTATTTTGTTGTTGCCCAACCACGCAACCAAGACGTCTGCGCGTGATATCGTATGTAACCTCTCCCAACGTAGAACGCACTGCATACACGCCAGACGATAGTTCCCGTAGGTAAAGAGAGTAAGAGTGGTTAGGCTACTATACGAACAGTTCACTGTCGCATGCAAACCCGTACCGTACTGCTGTGCTAGTCGAGTAGTTGTGTGTTTTCACGAGAGTACACAACCACGACAGGCTGTGAGGGCGAAACCAGAACTATAAATTCAGTGCTGTGAGGGGGGGGGGAGGGGGCCACACTATTGCCGCCGTGCGACACGGCAACCACCACTGGTGCTCTTGCGAGTCGGGAGACGTGTTTTCCAGGGACGCAAATAACATTCAAGTGTTTCGTTTGCCGCACGTACACGGTGGTTTCACAACTAGGAAAACAGGAAACAGACCACTCTCAGCCAGCACGAGTTATCCCCTGAACTACAGGAGACAACATCATGTCATTGAAGATGAGGCATCCTCTGCGGCCTCTAAATCAAGGAACACCAAGGAGAGCCAAGCCGGGCGGACGGGCTGTCACAAGGAGGATGAGACACATGAGAGACACCTGTTCCCCGATCAAGGACACGCGTACGCGTTCGAATCACGCGGGATGGAGGTTGGCTTGAAATCAATGGTAAGACACAATACTTTGACTTGGCCTGCAAGACTAAGAGGGATTTGCTGGGGGGGGTGACCCTTCAACCTTTGCAACATTCGACACCAACAAGCGGTTACCACAGGCGTGTGATATTTAGCAGCGAGGGTGAGCACCACTCCTCGACCGCCTTAACAAGACAGCAGACGCGACGAACAAAATTATTCATGTCAACTGCAGACTCGGGACAAATCTATCTAACCCGCTTGCCCGCACCTTTCCCCCAACACAAGACAAAAAAAGAAAGAAAAATCAGGAAGAGAGGCCATCGTTCTAGAACGATTACGCGGTATTGGCTGTGTCTGTCACACATGTGACCACCACGCCCTTAAGCGAGAGCGTACAAGTAGCCCGCGCTAACACCCCCTCGCTGTGACAAAGCGCCAGCGACCAGACACTGATTTCTCGCCCGTAAACCCTCGCGTGCATGCGTGTAAAGTGCAATTCGCTTTTCGACTTTTTGGTCAGTCAGGCGAACGGTTCAACTAAACGCCTCGTCTTCCCCCTAGGAACGGCTGGACAAAAACGCCGGCTAAATTGGCTTTCATCACGCGAAACAAGACATCACGCCGCCGCTACGATAGAAACGTTGTCCCGGCAGAAAATTTAAAAGGCGCCCTGGCCGTCGCCGAACGGGCTGAGGTGTCCCGACGTGAGCTGTTCGATTGCGGTCTGGCCGGTGAGCTTCTCCTGCACCATCTCGCCTGAGAATCCGAAAAAACAAGACGACAGAGAAAATGACACGAAATCAGCTCATCAGCAGCTCAAGGCAAGGCGACAGTGTGGTTGGGCCAACAACTACCGCAGTCGTGTTGCACGGCCGATTTTCCTTCGTCAAGGGCGTCATATTGTGGACAAACTTCGAGCAAGGTGCCGAGCGCCAGGTCCAAAAAATGTTGTGGTGAAAGCTGAAGTCTCCACCGTTCACAGCTCTGGTCGTCTACGCCATCAACGAGAAAACACGTTGTAAATTCTTGTGTTGATGCACGTGGTGCCTACTTCAGAGAAGAGAAAGCTGCCCCCCATGTGGGGACAATCACGGGAAAAATGGAACGTGCTACGCATACACATATATGGACACGACCCCTTGGGATGGACAACACGCATGATGTTATACAGCAAGACAACAACCGAGTACTTGTACAATTGCTAGAATCACGCCCACCCGCCCTACGAATATCAAAGTCTAAGTTTTGGTGTTTAGCAAGCAAGTTCCACGTCAGCTTTGGAGAATTCGCCATGATGTAGGTTGCGTAGTGTTACTCGACGACACACTTAACGATCGCAGCGCGTGCTGCACGAGTCCGTCACAAGATTGCAAAGACTTTAACCCTTTCCACCCGCAAGAAAAGAGACAAGCTTCGGCCCCAGTGCCCCATGAACATGAACGTCTGTCTAGTCGCGGAAATAAAATCGTTGCTGATGCTATTCGAGCGAGGCCATCTCTTACCGCATAAACACGGCAACAATCGCGCAAACGTCATGACGCTGCGTCTTTCTGACCTAACACGTGCCCCACGGTCAACTCTTCAACGGCCATGTGTTGAAAGAGCGACAATGTTCCCGGTCTTCGTTGGGTTTATTCGCAATTTGCATGAGGGTTTTCGATGTCGTGGACTCGTCTGCTAGTCTCGCGACCATGTGCACATGACGTCTGGTTAATACTTCCGCAGAAACACGAGCGGGAGCAGGCTGTCCCGTCGGCGGTTGACACCCGACGTAACCCGTGCGAGCGAGAAAGCCACTCAACAAGAACAACGATGATGACGGCGTCAAGAACTTACCCATGATCGCGAGCATCGCAAGGCGCCCGTTCTTGAGCTCCTTGAGCTGAAGCTTGGAGAAAGCGACCGGGTTGTCGGGGTAGGGGTTCCATGCCTGGCCGAAGTTGCCGAGTTCTCCCGGCGCCTGCGAAAAGTAACAAACAGCGAGGGGCATGTCGGACACGACACGGGGAAAGGAAAGGAGTTAGTACGCGGCGTGTTTCACCCACACACCTGCGGATGCCTAGCGCGGGCGTCATTGGTGACACAGAAAAACGTCGACCTGGGATGTCGACTGCACCACGAAAGACCTCCTCAAATGGACTAGCATGGAACAAAAGAATTATCAAGGAGTAAAGCAGTTGGTCGCTCTCGCAAGCATTGGCATCACAGATATGTGGGTTAAAACCACGACGCATGCGATAAGATGTGAGCGACAAGAAAATACCAAAACACCATACTACCAGCAGCAACATCACCGCTTCGCAAACCAAGTGCACCTTGTTCTCGTAGTCCTGCTTCCCCACAGTCAGCTCCACAACGGCGATCGCTCCCAAAATCTGAACCCACGCTGCCAACGGGAGCTCTCCGAGGGCCTTCAAGCCCGGGGACAGCTTGCCGTCGTACCTGACAAGACAGCAGCAAGGGAGGGAGAGGGCGAAAACGTGAACAACACAATCAGCAGACCTATCACGGTGTGGACTTCATCGTTTGCGTCCGACGCTCTCGAGACCACTTGTTCACATGAATCGACGATACCGTTAGGTAAGATATGTCAAGCGCATGCCCGTGTTGCTGATTAAGCGCAAAACCGAGGGCGTGCTTTGAGGTGAGGCTCTCTCGCCCACGGAGTTTTCGAATGCACTGCTGTAGCCGACAAGTGTGGGGTGTTTGGGACCACAAAAATACGGGCAATATAAAACAAATGCTGAAGCATACGGTAGCGAGATTTGTGTGAGCGAAAAACATTGGCAGGGCAACACAATAGGACAGCAGTGGCAAACGTTTGCTGCTATTCCGACATTCACAGCTGCCCTGCCTCCGCGTATGTGCATTTGGAACAGTGAAACGGCAAGGCCGAGCAGCCGTGTGACACGTTCCTCATTGGCGGACGAGAACCTCTTGCTGGATAAGACATCGGCGCATCTTTCCACAGTCGCGCACGACTTGGATCTACGGTCAACCTCGGCGCCAACAGCAGTAAGTGCGGTGATAATGTTTCGCTTCGGCTTGAGCATATCGGCCTATTTATTTGCCTCTGCCATTACAACCGAACCACCAGCGAGGCTCTTCATGCACACACAAGGCAATCTTGGCCTACTTTCGAGGCAGCCAACGATGATGGAGACAATGTCACTAAAGGGAGAAAGGGTAAAAGAGTTAAAACATTTGCCAAGTACAAAGCACCACCCACACCATTCCTTCACGACATAACGCAAGCCCATCATGTGTGAACACGAGAGTCTTGCATTCGTATCGTCGTGATCGTCTTGCTCCTTCCAGTCTCCCCCTCCCCAAAATCCACCTCAATGCACCTGGGTAGAGCGGCCAAACCACTGCTGTCTGGTACCACTAACTTACAGGGGGTGCCACTGCTCCGCGAAGAGGTAGCCGGTGACGGCCAACATAGCGACACGTCCGTGCTTGAGCTCCACCGCCCGGCGCCTGAAGAGCGATGCATCGTCCTTGCCGTATCCGAGGGGGTCAAACACACCGTCCGTCTCCACATCCGCGCCAAGCATGTCGTTCACCGCCATCTTGGTCATAGTGGCTGGATGAAGTCGTTGATTTCGCGGACACGCATACGTGCATGCATGCATCGGGCAAAAGCCGTGTGTTGTGAGGGAGGGAACGATTCAGTTCAACTGCTGGATTTTTCATCTGCATGCGATCGATCCACCTCTGTATGTACGAAGTACACACGACATCAGGAAGGACTGAAAAATGCCAATCCACAATGGGGTCACGAATGAGTTCGTGGCAGGTAGTGTTCAACGACACCGAGGATGATGCTACACAGCGAAAGAGATGAGAGAAGAGAGGAAACCAGAGATAGACGAGGGTCGAGTCAGCGGGGAAAGGGGACCCTCAGATGTGTGCAGATGCGTGATTTCTTGTTTTTCACAGGACTCGTTGGTGACGCCTTGTATATCACAGGGTCATTGCGTCTCATACACGGACTTCCAACAGCAGAAAGAAGAAACAGCCCATGGACGTAGGCTACGATCGTACACTACGCAAACAACCTGATCTGTTGAGTCCGCATCTGGGGGTAGTTCTTGCTAGTCTTCATGATCCGGACAGCAGTCAACTTGAGTCAGAGGTCAGATGGGCATGTTTCACCACGTACACACCCCGCTTGACCTTGGGACGAACGGCAGCTCGTTTTCAATCTTCGCACTACAGCAGCACTAGCAGGAGTAACAGAAGAACTCCCAGTCTGCCCAACGCGCACGAGGGCACTTGGAAACCGGCATCGCGAGACCGCGAAACATGACACAGCCGCTGCTAGGACAACACTTGTATGCGATGCCGCTGTGAGATGGAGAGAGGCTCACCAGATGTCGCCTGCTGCGGCCGCGCGATTTGAGAACCGTGGAACGCGGACGGCGCCACGAACGCCGTCGTGGTCGCGAGGGTAAGAGCCAAGGCACCGATCTCCATCTTCATGATTGCTAGAGGTTGGTGATGTGAGTGTGTATCTCTCGGGTTGGATGAAGCAGCGAGGGCGATAGAGAGGGCGAGGCAAACACACCGCGAATTTCAGCCAAATCCAAGCCTCAAGCGTACCTCTCTTCAGCGATTGGCCAAGCCAGTTGCCGTCGGTAATTTTGGGGGGCCCGCAGCTGGCGCTAGTTCGATCTCCCGCTCTCTCTCCGGCCTCGTTGATCGACCGGCAGAGATCGCTCACACAAGCCCTTTGTAACTCTCTCTCCATCTCTCCTCTCAACCCGTTCCAAAGATGAAGTCCGCTGTGATGGCCGCCGCATGTGTATCCTCAGCGTCTGCCTTTGTGGCACCGTCGCTCGTGTCGTCGCGCGTGGCGTCTTCCGCGCCCAAGACCACCATGATGGGTGAGTTTCGTCATCTCTACAACAATCGATCGTGGGGCGAAGCCCGCCAGCCTACCAGTTTGCATGCACCTGTTTCACAGTTGACATTGGGTGCTGGTGCTGACATGATCACCATGGCCCCCTTCTATGTGCTATCTCCTCTGTTCTGCTTCCTCCCGTTTTCTAGGGGTGCCTTCGAATGTCCAGATGTTGTTGCATGTAAGGTATTTCCTGTCCTTGTTGTTGTTGACCCTGGGCTGCTTGAAGGGATGCTGACTCAAGGTTCGGCTGTAGACACTGGCGTTGACGGTGACTTGAGGACACCAGTTGGCGGCCTTAGCAGAGTCGTGTTTCAAAGTGACACGCTGCGTTGAACCCATCAGTACCTCCCATCTCTGCATTCTTATCTGGGAATGCTGCTTGTGAGTTGCGAGTCCCAACACGGAAGACAACGTCACGAGAAAACTGTACTTTACTTGGCAATGAACACATGTCTAGATCGGCGAATCAACGTCATAATGAACGGGGTGGGATCACGTGGCTCATGTAAAAATTCAAGCTAAATTACGCGAAAGAAGAAACGAATTCGAGCGAGAAGAGGAAGCCCTGCTGCATTCACGTATGTGACTACGTGTGAGACATGTTCTGTCTGCGAGCTTGATCGGTCGATGCTACTCTTGGGATGTGTGCATTATATGGCAGTCAATATTGTAGCCGCTCTTTTCGCCGACAACAAATGTGGGGTGTTTTCTACACACCTGATACTGCTGTAATATACTTGTTGTAGTGGGGGGAACAGCGAAGGGTCTGGGGGGAGGGCGGCGGCAAGAATACCCTCCCACTGAAGATTATCAATCTCGGCACCGAATTTGGTGATATATTCACTACGACATCAAATCTAACAGCAATTCTGCTTACGGAGAGAGAGGAGAGAGAAGCACGCGTATTGATTTCTCAAACATGAAATTTGAAGAGTAAATGGAAATTTGTTCATACTACGTGTAGAGTACTGGAAATGTTGTTCATACTACCTGTATTGTAGTGTCTGTCATGTCCGCATGAGGTACCAAATGGTGAGACCCCATACCTGTACATCTGTCACGCATGGTCCTCAAGGTGGCGAGGAGTTTTCTCAGTAAATTAACACTTGCTGGGCCCACACAAGCCGCAGCAGACCTCGTGATGATAGTCTTCAGAACATGTGCACTGAAGCAACAACTCCTTTTTGCTGTTCTTGTGTTTTCGGCGAATGCCCATTGCTCGCCGTTGCACGCATTCCGTCGGTTAAAACATTCGAGCGCCTGTTTGTTGTTGCAGTGAGTTTTCCAACTCCTTGGCCACTGGGCCGTATAGCCCCTCGACGACGAGTCAAACGGACGCCGACCCACGCCCTCCAAAATGTGCTTGAGAGAGTATACATCGAAGGGAAGTCTGGCAACTGTTGGTGCGCGAAGTGCGTTAGCTACCTTTGAGTCGAGACCACAAGCATTGCCCTGCCTCGAAATGGATGCGCGGCGAACAATAGTCCAGTGAAAACGGCCTTTGCACGTGCAGAACTCGTACAAGGACACATGGGACACCTTGCATGCCCTTTTGAAATCATGAGGCCACTCATCCTACCCCCGCCACATTTTCTCCTGCTTTGCCCTCGTCCGTTGCAGCCGAGGTACCAGGATCGTGGTGGACTCCGTCCGACGGAACCAAGTCCGTGGCCCTCCCGTGGGCGGACAAGCCGCTCATCGGCGACGGAGACATGGTGGGCGACGCTGGCTTTGACCCGCTCAACTTGGCGAACGGACCCGCGGACCTCGTCTGGCTCCGGACAGCAGAGCTCAAGCACGGCCGCATCTGCATGCTGGCGTGCGTGGGCATGGTCGCCCCCGAGCTTGTCCAGCACCCCGTGGGCTTCTCCGGGTTCGAGTTCGCGCCCGAGTTCACGCAGATGAACGCGTTCGCCGCGCTGTCCTCCGTACCCCGGCTGGGCCTCGCGCAGATCGTCATCTTGTGCTCGCTCATCGAGGTGGCCTCCTTCACGGGAAACCTCACCGAGAAGTACTTGTACGAGGACGACTTGACCAAGCTGGAGCTCAAGAACAAATCGCTCGGCAAGACCGACTACCTCGCGGGCGCGGCCAAGATCGCCCCCGTGACGGAGAACAAGGATCAAGTCTTCGAGGACACCGTCATCCCCGGGGACCTCGGCTTCGACCCCCTCGGCCTCGCGGCCAACGGCATCAACCCCGACTACGCCCTGGCGGAGCTCAAGCACGCCCGTCTCGCAATGATCGGATTCCTCGGCATGGCTGTGCAGCAGGCCGTAGACCCCAACGGTGGTGTGCTCGAGCAGTTCATGAACTGGGCGTCGTAGACACATGACGATGATTGGTTTAATTTTTCGTTCTTGTTTCGGCGCTGTAGAGGCTAGGCTGGCAAGATATTTTTTGGGGTTGAGGGAGGGCATCAAGACCTGAAACCTGGCGCGGGCTCTCGTATGTTTTTGGCGTGCGATCGTGTGGTTCCACCGTCAGGCGTCTGAACCGCTTTTTTGCCACGTGACCGACCGTAGATTATCGGTTTCTGGCGAGCTAATTTAAGACTTGCTCGGGCGAGGCTACTTTTTACCTGTTGTAGACAAGAAAAACGGCTAGGAAAAGCGTGCATTACTCGGCGCATCTCCTTTTCTCTCCGCTTCGTGTTAATGTGCAACCGCTGCTAAGCAAGGGTGTCGGTTGCCGATTTGTCGGATGTGGGGAAACCAGTAGCCGCGCGCTTGCTTGTCGGCCGGGCCTCTACTGGGGAACACTTCGTGTCGTGTGCGTGCGAAACGGGAGGGAGTTAGTTACCTTGGAAGCCCACTGTTTTTTGCTTTCGCCTACATGATGTTCCTTTGTCTTGTTTTTGTATCCGTTCTCTTATTTTGTGGCCAGAGCCTTGCCAGCTTAGATGATGGCTCGCCGTGTGTTCTTCTGTGACGATGATCAGATGAAAAATGAAGAAATGCGAAACGGGTTTTTAGTTGGCTCTCCTGCCACTCACCGGCACAAGATGTGTGATGCCTCTCTCGCCGAGTGGAGACTGCGCCGATTACGTCTCTGAATGACTTCACATCCCGTGCGACTGTAGTGTTGTCGTACGGGTAGTCGAGCTGTGTATCCACCACCTCCGTATGTACCACATATCTCGGTGGACCGTGAATGAATCGCGTCCTTCTTCCCGCGGTATCACAGCAAAATGTAGCAGTCCGTACGTCTTGGTGTATGGCCGAACACCAGCAGCAATGAAACTGCGTTGATTGATACATGTAGCGCTCGTGGGATTCTATTCGCTGTGCTGACTTGGCACCACTGCTAGGACCTCAGATGTTCATGTTTCCATTGGTGGGCAGCCGAGTGTTGCTGTCACCCCGTTCAAATCCATCAAGGTCGAGGTCTCTAACGGAACGGCCTGTGTCTTGCGTGTTGTCTTCTGGATGTTGCAGCTGCGATCCGAAGTCGCATCTACATAGTATCGTCACCATACACGTGTACAATGTTATGGAAAGCTAGCTAATAATGACGCATATCGAACATCGTTCCAACCAGTACCAGTAATTCATTTCCTCGTTGACCACTATCGAGCACAAGATCATTTACTCTTTGGAGAAGGACAAGGTTTAGTTGCGGGGCGATCACTCCTAGCGTATGAGTCGAGCATCCGAGGAAATTCTGACGTGCACCCATCAATCAATGGTTGGTGTGCATTGATGGGGGCACACGATATATATTTCGTGAGTGACGCCGTGCATCGGTGGTGGTACGTTTTTTCATGTATGTAGCGTATCTTGGAGCCAGTCTACACAAATACCTCGAATGGGTAGTCGCTCTGTGTATTTAAGTTGTGAAGTACGTGTCTGTGGTGTAAGTTCGTTCAGGAAAACACCACCATCCTCATCAGCACATCATAAGCTGCCACAGGAGACAGGATACCACTACTGTTGTTGTGTTTTCATTGTTTTTGGCCACCCAATGGTTCACCTCCCCCTGCCGTGCTTGCCTTGAACTTTACCACGAGAAGGGATGCTGTTGCTTCCCCTCTCGACTGTGCGATCTCCACCTCTATGTATGTCTAGATGGTACTAGGAAAAATAAATACACACACAGAAAGACTACTGCTGAATGTACCCATTCGAGATATAGTCTACCCACGTTCGAGTCCTTTTGGGATGTGGTGGAGTCTTTTCAGTGAGTGGGGGTTAAAACCGGCTGGGCACTGGACATATTTCGAGTCTATTTAAGTCTATACACTGATGATTCATATCGTTGATACCAGCTGGTGCTAAGTACAATACATCTGTAAATGGTACATAATGAAATGAGAAATTAAGGAATAATAAAATAAATGAACCAGCACTGATGGATGATGCGGTGCAATCAAAACCGGTTCGGCACGCTTTTCTCAGGACATGTCTCAAGTCTCATGTCTCATGTCTCATGTCTCCTACCTTTGACACTCTGCCGTCACTCAACGGACCAACGCTGCAGAGCAGGAACAATTTACGCAGTCAGGAGTGACAGTGAACGGTTTTGCACTGTCTGCTGATGCAAAACATGCAAAACAATGAGCCCTGATGCCATCGCTCTTCCGGGATCGATCGACCAAGTCGCCTATTTAGCGAACCAAAGTGCCAGATCGATGTCGGCCTTGGAGACGGCCGAACAGCTGAGCGGCGAAGAGCAAGATAAACCATCGCCACTACCCCCGACAGCAACATTTCTCACTGGGGTGGCACTGGCTGAAGAGTAAGTTTAGTATTGCATTCATTGATGCGAACAGAAGGGGGTGTCGACCAGGCTTTATTTGCCAAACGCACGAATCATCAGCAGCAGCCGCATCACAGGCAGAAGTTGACTGTTTGAATGGAGGGTCGCCACGAGGGCAGAATCCGATTGGTACAGTAGTGCTTGCGCAATGAAACAGATACGAGTGCACGTAGCCTTTCACACATGCTTGGGCCCCATGTTTTGCGTTGTCGGGCGGAAGTCAGCTGACTATGTAGACTGATCTGTCCTGCAGCGCCATGTATACCCGAAGACGATCGATCGTAGCTGTTCGCATATCGTGAGGTACGTCACGTGCGGATGGTCGTTGGCCCCGTACACAATTCGGGAACACTGAGGGCAATTGTAGCAAACAATCGTCTTACTTCTCTTCTCCTGGCGCTTGAATACCATTCATCCGGGGCTCTGCTGTTGTTACTGTAGATCAACCGAAATCAAGAGTTGGCGTTGGCAAATATATATTTTTTATCCTTACGCGTACAGAACACAGAAAGGTCCCGCAACGTCAAGACTCGGGTCAAGGTAAGAGTTCTTACTTCGTCACCACTGACAAGCATAGACAACCAGAAGATATGTCCAGGGTCCACCCCCGAGCTGTGTTCTTGACCCTCGTAGTACTGGACGCCCAAATGGGGACACTGTGGGGACACAACAAGCACTCAAACGTCTGTTTACCGCACCGGAGTCGCCCGAGACTCCGCTGTGAAACGCACGTGAGAAACCTTGACCGGCATACTATGCTGAGTGATGCCTCTCCTCGGCCGTAGCCTGGCTCTGGAAAAAAATGTTGACTTGGCTTCAGTATGAAAAAAGAGTCCCTACGTGAAGCCAAAAGTCACCCTTTGTCTGGTAAGGAGCCCGGCAATCTTCGATTCCTTTGGAAGGACTGTATCCCCAATGCCTGACAAGAAGTTGCGATGTTTTTTTGCGGAGGGACTGCGTACAACTGCTGTAGGAGGGTTAATCCCAATCTCACATTTTTCGTCGAGCCTCTACGTTGTTGAATGTAGTGTCTGGTATGCATTTAGTTAACTACGTGTCCGTTCTGTACGATTTTCAACCGGACGGGGGTACGTTTCTCTTACAACTGGCGGCTAAAGACAATGTACATCACAATGGCATTGGGTTAAAGCAAAACGTGTGTGATATATTGTTGGAAAATCCTGTCAATGACTCGTTCTTTCGCCAAGCCTCGCACCGCCTCTCGTTCTCCAAAATGGTGATGTGCAGTGCTACGCCGGTGGGCGGTTCGGTGAGCGGGGGGGGGAGGGCGAGTGAAGCACGAGCGAAACAAAGTGATGGCCCACGGTACACTGACTCAAGGAGCTTGGTGACTGAGACCATGTCGGCCATGGATTTGCCTCGAATATCGTTCCTTCGAAGGGAGATACAAAAGAAGGCGTCTGGACTTGACCGCGTTGAGTTCATCATGACCATGGCAACGTGAGAGCTCCCAGGCATCACAACTGAAGCTCTTTGTTGCGCACAACATAATTATAGTTGCTGTTGCTGTTGCTGCTGCTGCTGTTGTAGCTACTGCTGCTGCTGCTGCTGCTGCTGTTTTGTTGTTGTTGTTGTTGTGTTCTCCACTTTCCATTTCGCCTGGACCTCTACCCGTGCCTCATTCCCTCCTTACCATCCGCATAGAGTATCCATGGTCACAACATATCAAACCCCAGCAGCGGTCGAGCATATGTACAGCAACTTGAAGAGTTTGGAGAGAGTAGCCGCCCGAGAAGAAACGAATTCCCGACCTGACAAGTTCAGGCACAAACAAATGGCAGGACAGAACAAGGGAAAACCTGAACAATCCAAAGGAAGCAGGGCCCCATGGCTCTATTCGGGAGCTGGGTCACAAACTGCATGAAACACATCATGAGCGTAAACTCCCTGCAAAAAACTCAGACCAAGGGCAGTGATCCTCCTACCCCTACGAAGCCGAGGGCAAGCAATCCACCGCCGCATTGTTCTTGGGCTGCGAAGCCGGGTAGGCAATCGATTGGTTGTGGGCTATCACATAACCCTTGCCTCCAGATCAAGCGCAATTGTCAAACCACAAGCTGTGCAAAGGCACAACCCGCATTGCAGTCAAAAACGTCTTGAACATTAACAAATTCAGCCTCCGAGGTACGCTTGTGCATACACCTTAGACTTCGGCATGTGTAAACCGTATGTGAACCTTGGAGTACTTCCACCCAACACGGTGTTGTCAGTGCGCGACGAGCAAAAGGAAGGGTTGAAACGAACCATGTTGATAGATCGGAAGAGTGCGTGGAACATCCTCCGTCGTCCGTGGCGTACATCTTTACAACATAACATTGTTCCCTCTGGGGACATGCCGGATGTTGCGTGTTTTTTCGAAGCGAGTCATGAATCCTCCTTCGTGCCATCGAAATGTGCTCTTGTTGGCTGGTGCGGCAGGTGTGTCGCAGGAGACATATCCAACCCGGTGCGCTGCATCGATGATATTCATGTCAGCATGGTGGCTAACTTCTGCGAAATCTTCGCACAAGTGAGATACGGTTTTAGAGGCGGGTAGATGACGTTTCCTTCTGTTCGTCTCTCAATACCGTTGCCACGTTATTCACAGAACTTTTGATCAGGATGAAGGAATGCCGCCCATGTCCTCCACGGATATGTACCGTATGTTCTCCTTGCGCTTGGTACATGCAGGTGGATGTAAACAACGACGGGACGGTGGACTGGGAAGAGCTGTCGTCCTTCATGATAGACATGGGCATGAAGGACTGGGCTAAGAGCGGGGCGGGAACGCCAAACTATGCCTACGCTGGACAGGTTGATTCTGCAAGGCCTACACAAGCTGCGGACCAGGTGGGGTGGTGCTGAGAAAGAGCAGGGTATGTTTCGTTCTAGAATAGAGGGAGGGCAGTGCGTTTTCACTTCTTGGTCAAGGTTGAATCAAAACGAGAGGCCCTCCGTAGGGTATGGCGTGTACCCTCAAGATATGCTGTGAACTTGAAAAAGTGTCAGCTAACAACATGGAGTGGGCACCGCCTTTGTTAGCACGCTCGACGTGTGCGTACAAGGGCGCATGCGGGTACCAATGTGCTCTTGCGAGTTCCCCACGGTGCCGTTCTCAGACACGTCCATGAAGGCGTTCGAAGGAGCTTTGTCTCTCAGTGATGTTGACCACACCGACTTAGGCTTACGTTTGGAGAGTTAATTCATCTACCGACACCGGTGCGCGCCCCACCGCAGATTCAGTACTTTCCGAAGAACGACACTGTCGCAATCATCGAGGAAAACGCGCGCTTCTTCCGCGTGTACCACGCTCATTCCATGCACATGAAGCGACAATATGACGTCCAGGTGAGGGAGGGAGCATCAGCTGCAGTGTACCAGCACACCCAAGTGATACACACACTCTACCCGTGTGGTGACACCTGCAACCGCCTCGTCCGGCAAGCATGCAGCATCATCGCAAAGAAGCTTCCCTACTCAAACCTGCGGCGTTAGAATCCTGCGCACCTCCACTTCTCTCGGGAATACTACGTGAGGGAGGAAAGTAGGGAAACTGTGCGACAATTTCCTTGGCCACGAAGGACACACTTGCTGTCGAAACACTTACGGGCTCGATTGTACTCTCAGCTTGGCCCCGTGGTTGCAGTATGGACGCCTGACCTAACATGGTGGTGTATCGCGGCGGTGTCTTGTACGGCTCCCAGGATGCCATCAGCGCAGCGCGGTCCGTGTGCTATTGCACCCCCGGCGGGTACTACGTGCTGGGCACGTCAGCATCGAGGGTGTGCTTCTACGAGGAAGGCACCGGCAGCGTGTGGAAGGACTTTGAAGCTCCCAGTATCCCGGTCTGTGCCACTGCTGGGTCCATCTCTGTGTAGCCTGTCTGTCGATCATGATGTTCTGCTGGTTCTGCCGGTGTTTTACATCCATCACAACCCGCTTGAAGACTTGTTGAAACGATGTTCCTGTCGGGGGGGGGGGGGGGGGGGGGGGGGGGGGAACCAAAAACCGGGAAACCCAAAATTAAAAAAAATTAACCCCCCAAAAATTCCCTTGGGGGGAGGGAAAAAAACACAAAAAGGAACCCCAAGGGGGCCCCCCGGGAACCCCTCAAACCCCCCCCCCAAAAAAGGGGGGCCCCGGGAATAAAAAAACAAAAAAAAAATTTTTAAAAAAAAAAAACAAAAAAAAAAACCCCCCAAGGGGTTAAAAAAAAAGGGGAAAACTTTTTTGGGGCCCCATTCCCCTTGGGGGAGGCCCCCCCCAAAAAAAAGAAAAACCCGAAAAAAAAAAAAAAAAAAAACGGCCCAAACCCCCCCCCCTTCTTTTGGGTTGGAAAAAATAAAAAAAAAAATTTTTTTAACCCCCTTAAAAAACCCCGCCTTTTTTTGGGGCCGAAAAAAAAAACAAAAAAATTTTTTTTGAAAAAAGGGGAAAAACCCCCCACCCA